ACGTGCACACATTTGGTCAATTATTGTAATTATCCATAAAATGGAAAGCGAAGTTATGGCAGAGTTCATCTGGTTTGTAGAATTCATGCCGCTAGTGTAAAATGAGTTTAGTTTAGTTTCTGGCAATGCTAAATTAAGTTTTGCTTACGCTAATACTTCGATATAAAGCCTAGCTTAATTTATTCCCCCTTCAGCTTTATATTATTGTTATGCAGAGGGCATTCAATTATTATTACATCCATGCAAGAGTGCTAAAGTCTGGGGAATGGGAGCAATGAGATTCGATCCAAGGAAAAGGAGGGTAGTTCAATTTCTTTGAATCAAGAGCCCTTCACCTGTATCAAAGCACCACCCCATTCTCTTTGCTGACGACACGACTTGTGTCATCTCTCACCCTAATCTTGACACCCTCAACACCATTGTTAATGAGGAGCTGCTCAAAATATCAACTTGGATGACAGCCAATAAACTTACACTTATCACTGACAAAGCCTTCTATATTATGTTTGGTAGCAGAGCAGGTGCTGGGCAACTAAACATTAAGATCGACAGCACTCTAATTGCCAGACATAATGAGGGCAAATTCCTAGGCCTATACCTCGACAACAACCTGAATTTCAGCACCCGTATCCAACACATATCAAAAAAAGTATCCAAAACAGTTGGGATCATATGATACTATGTGCCGCAAAATGCCCTTCTCACACTATACCATTCACTCATTTATCCATACCTCACCTATGCTATTTGTGCTTGGGGATCAACTGCAGCAACACACCTAAAGCCAATAATAACTCAACAAAAAGCTGCAGTAAGAATAATCACTAAATCCCATCCCTGGCAACACCCCCCTACTCTTCACAGACCTAAACTTACTCCCTGTTCAGAACATCCACACTACTGTGCAATCTACATATACAGGACCTTAAATTCCAATATTAACCTTGACCTAAAATGCATTCTTGATAGTTGTGACAAGACCCTTGGGCCACCACACATGGGTTTAAATTTTCCAGCACTAAAACCCACCAAATCACTTTCACTAGACGCTCTGTCATCTCTGATCATCCTTTGTACCTCTATGGCTCACGTATCCCTGAACGTGATACAGTCAAGTTTCTGGGCCTCCTCTTTGATCGTAGGTTATCCTGGAAACCTCACATTACCTCTCTGAAGGCAACTTGTCACAGCCGGCTGAACCTTCTTAAAACCCTTGCTCATCTTTCGTGGGGAGCTGATCGTCGAACCCTCCTTCACCTACATTCCACCCTTATTTTATCGAAACTTGATTTATGGTGACCAGATCTATTCAGCGGCATCTCCTGCTACTCTCTCTACCCTTTAAACCCCCATTCATCACCAAGGATTACGTTTATGCCTTGGTGCTTTTCGCTCTTTCCCCTGTCGAAAGCCTCTTGCAGAAGCGAACGTTCCATCCTTATCCGATCGCCGTGATGCCCCTTGCCTGCGCTACTATGTACGCTCTCATGATCTCCGCAATCCTTCCATTTATAGAATGGTCACTGATATTAGTAGACATTCTTTATTTGTTCGCCGGCCCCTGCTTACTCCGTCCCTTCTCTCTTCGCCTTCATTCGCTCTTGTCTTCTCTTCAACTACCACCTTTCTATGTACATGTAGCATCTCACTTTTCCCTACCCCCCTGGGAAGTTCCAGCTGTTCGAGTCTGTTCTTTCTCCCTCCCTTGCTCGAAAGCCCAACTGTCTACGGTCGCTTCCCCCTCTCTTTTTCTTGACCACTTTCACTCTCATTCTCATGCCATTGCTGTGTACACAGATGGCTCTAAGTCTTCTGACGGCGTAGGATTCGCAGCAGTGTTTCCGGACAGCGTCGTACAAGGGCATTTACTATCTTCAGCTAGTATTTTTACTGCTGAATTATATGCCATCCTTACAGCACTTATCCGTATTGCATCTATGCCTGTGTCATCATTTGTGGTTGTCTCAGACTCCCTTAGTGCTTTACAGGCTATACAAAAATTTGATACACCTCACCCCTTAGTCCTCCGTATCCAACTTTGGCTACGCCGCATCTTTACTAAGCATAAAGATATTGTTTTTTGTTGGGTCCCTGGTCATGTTGACGTACAGGGCAATGAACAGGCAGACACTGCTGCGCGGTCAGCAGTACATGACCTACCAGTTTCTTATAGAGGTATTCCATGTACGGACTATTTTGCTATAATATCTTCCCACCTTCACACCCGTTGGCAACAACGTTGGTCTACTATGCTCGGCAACAAACTTCAGTCTATTAAACCGAGTATAGGTTACTGGCCGTCTTCTTATCACCAGTGTCGAGGTTGGGAGACTACTCTCTCCCGTCTTTGCATTGGCCATACTCGTCTTACTCATGGATATCTCATGGAGAGGCGACTTGCTCCTCTCTGTGAGAATTGCCAAGCTCCATTATCAGTCAGCCACATTCTGTTGGACTGCCCACTTTATCAACGAGCATGCAGAATTTACCTCTGTCGTCGTCTTCGCCCCGCTGCTCTCTCTTTACCTTCCCTTCTCGCTGATGGACCCACCTTTCATCCGGACTCTCTTATTGACTTTTTGACAACGACTGACTTACTTCACAAATTCTGATACTTTCAGCCCTTTCTACTTGTATCTCTTGCTACCCTCTACCCCCGTACTATCCCCTGCCCCGCTGTTTTCTGTAACCTGCTGATCATCCCCCCTCCCTCCTGCCATCCAATTCCCTTGCTTCCTTCCCTACCCTGCAGCGCTGTATAGCCCTTGTGGCTTAGCGCTTCTTTTTGATTATAATAATAATAATAATGTGACAAGACCCACAAGCATAACCCCAGACACAAACATCTCTACGATATTCCCCGTGTCCGACTAAACCTTTACAAAAAATCAATGTATGTCAAAAGCCCTAAAATCTGGAACACCCTACCTGAAAACTCTAGAACTGCAGACACATTCATCACCTTCAAAACTACCGTTAGAAAACATCTCCCTGATACACCCCGTCAACTAACTACATAACCACCACCTGGTGGTTCACATTTAGTCACTCACCCATATGACTATAAGCACAGAAATACGTATCTTAATCTTAAAATAATGATTCCTAACTATTCACAAGTTTGCCTGTGATACTCCAATATAGAAACTATGTATTGTGCCAAAACAAATGCATTCACATTGCTAAACTCACAAACTAGTATTTAGTCACTTAATATTTAGTCAACTTACTCCACAATTTGTAATAATTCAGGGTTAAGAAATAATCTAAGTTTGCCCGAAATGCCTAGCCATGCTAGGTGTTCTAGTGGCCCCCTCTGTAATTAGTATTTTATTAAATGTAAACCACACAATAACCAGAATCTGTAAACCCTGCATTGTAATCCTTATAGAGAATAAACTTTGATTTGATTTGATGGGAGAGCTTATAGTACATCCCATGTTTCTTAGGTGTGATGACTTCGTATTTTGCAAAATACGAATAGAAACATTTTATATTTTTACAAATTGTTTTTAATAAATGCATGTTTTTTTATGATGTGTGACCAAGACAAGAAATGTTGGAACCTGAGATGCCCACACTGGCAATAACTGCTGACACAGATGATACCAGAATCTTTGAATCCCATTGTTACAAGTGACCCTTGAGATACACTTCCTTTAGAGTATTAAAAATGCAGGAATTTTTTATCTGCATGTACTAAGTAGATTGGACTTGCTTGATCGTGGTGTCTAGCTAGAAACCTCCTGATCCTCTCGGGCTAATCTAAGTTTCTATGACCTCAAGATGCCATGTGCACAGGACTGATTCCTACAAATATTCAAATTGTGTTAGTATCCCCAGCCTGCACCTTGAGGGTCCCTGAATTCAACGGGTATTCCCTAATCAGCATTTATATATACAGTAATATACTAGCTTCTGGACTGATATTTAAGGGGAATTACTCAACAATCTAACTTGTGTTTTGGGCATGTGGCCACACGTAACCGCAGCTCAAATCTTACCTTCCCCAAAACACAATTGACCAACAAATACCCTAAGAAATGTAACAGATTGTCTTACTGCGGGGCCTGAGAAGAGACAAATGGAAACCTCTGGGATGATCTCGAGGCAGTATGTATTTTGAAGACAGCATGGTCCCTGGGTTGTCCTCTCCCCAGAGATGGTTACTTCATGCTGTCTTTGTCCAGAAGGATGGACTAGTGTCCAGCAAGCTCCAAAGTAGACTTGCTTGCACGAGATGTTAGATACCACAATTTACCTAGTCTCATTACATACCTAATACAACCTAATATTAAGGTCTGAGGCTACAGTATTAATCCTAATATTTACTAACAATTTAAATCTACCTAAGACCTCCTTAAGGTGTAATCTATCAATTTGTATCTCAGTCTTCAGCAGTTATTTAGTGTCTTGTTTGAGTGTAAGGACGTGTTAAGGGTTCTGATGACTGCCGCATCAACTTTTTTTTACAAATGAATCAGATGGTGGCATTTTTTGGTCTCAATAAATTTTCACACAATGTGTCTTCTTGGTGTAATGTCATAAACTTTGGACTCCCAAGCTTTACATACAAACATTATTATTTTGTGAAGTGTTCCATCCTTACCCATATTCTGATCAGGGCACCGTGGCTAAAGCTCTCGCTTCACACTGCAAGGGTTCGAGTTTGATTCCCAGCGAAGGGCGTGTTTCCTTACACCGGTTGTCTATGTTCCCCATTAATAAAATGGGTATCTGGGTGTTAGTCGACTGGTGTGGGTCGCATTCTGGGACAAAACTGACCTAATTTTCCTGAAATGATCTTCATAACAAGTGGCTTTCTATGTAGTAGTATGTCAGTGTCAGCTAGGCCTGTAAACCTTGTGTACATGTACTTGTAGAAATAAAAATATTACTATTACAGTGGACCCCCGAGTTTAGTGAGCCTCATCCTTCGTGAATTTTGGCTTTCGGCAACTTCTTTCGTCAAAAGATAGCCTCGCGTTTTGTGATTTGCTTCGGGATTCGTCCGTATGGAATGTGGCCTCCCAGTGACCGGGCATACACAAAGGCTCCAACACACCATTCAGAGAGTCAGTGTAGCATTGTTTCTGGGCCAGTGACCATCACCCTGTACTTTCATGGGATACATTTCGTAATATGTAATCCATTGTTTTTTGTGCTTGCAACTGATAAATAAGCCACCATGGGCCAAAAGAAAGTTCCTAGTGCTAGCCCTTTGGTAAAGAAGGCGAGAAACATGATAGAATTCAAGAAAGAACACACCAGCCAAGGTACCTCCCCACACCAGCCAGGATACTTCCCCACACACCAGCCAGGGTACTTCCCCACACACCAGCCAGGGTACTTCCTCACACAAACCAGCCAGAGTACTTCCCCACACACAATTTGATTTGAGTGGGACTTGCACACGAGTGAATAGAATTATCAAATCTTATTGCTTGGGGAGCACTGAAAATTGGGTTGGGCAAATATTCTCTTAATGGGATGGTTTGTGAAGGACTCTGCCTAGTATGGGCCAATAGGTCTGCTGCAGTGTTCCTACTCTCTTATGTTCCATATACCAACAAGAGCCTTCAATAAAGGTGTGATATTATTGTTTTATACTTGATTTCTTATTCTTTTCTATATGTAAATCTATATTTAATCTATAAAAAATAATTTTTGTTAATACTTTTGGGTGTATGGAATGGATTAATTGGATTTACATTATTTCTTATGGGGAAATGGTTTCGAGTTTAGTGAATTTCGACTATTGGCAGACTCTCTGGAATGGATTAATCATGAAACTCGGGGGTCCACTGTCTTATTAAGAGCAGCATTTAATACATTTTTTGTACACCACTTATACTTCCTGAAGTCTAAGTTTTTGTTTGTGTGCAGTATACGGTAAGGTTTCATAACGAAGAGTTCCTAATGATAAAAGACTTGAAGATTAAGGTTCGGTTACCAAATGGACTTTGTAATGCTGATATCCTTATCCTGTGACCTGCCAGAGATGTGATAACACACTTGGCAGTACATATATACTGTCTTGAGACATGTTTGTCACGTCCACCCCTGTGGTGCACTGGTCGTCACCGCATCCACCCTGGTGGACAAGTGTTAGTTTATCTTTATTATGCATCTTATACCCATTGTGTGGGTGGTAGTCAAGATTACAGAGGTACATAATGGGTCCAGGGACTGGGCCTGTGAAAATTATTATTATTATTAGCAAATCACCTGCAGGAGACTTACAGGGCATTGCCTGAATTATTACATGCAAGTAAATTGGTTGAGGTAAGTGGGACTTAAGTCAGAGTAAGTCACTGAACTGCTACTCCTTCAACTGCCCACTTCTTCACCACTTTCACAAAAAGCTAGACTTGACATTAAATTAATGATTATAAAATTAAAACCAGCTACTCTGGTACATTGAAGTTTAGTGGACTGTATGTGATCAGGCTTGCTTGCTGGGTACACAAAAATATAACTATTAGTACAAAACATATAATGCAATGGTGTTAGTAGAAAATAACTTTGTATTACCACTTACCATTTAATTACTGTAGACAGATCACACCACAACACCTGCCTAATACCCAGACCCTACACTGGTCAGCTAAGATCTAGGTGCAAGGACCATGATGTACTTTCCTGTGAGTGATGTCTGCATCCCTTATTTCGCCATCTACACAAAATTCTTGAGGTCCTGCAAATTTCCTGTCCCAATTCTTCGGCAGGGGACATTAACACAGATTCCTATTACAAATTCAGGCCGAAACATCTCCTTTTGGCCTCTGAAAATGCCCGATTGTTAACAGAATTTCCCACTACAACCAGTGTTCACAAATTCAAAATGACATCCCACGGCGTCCCTACTGGCTGTTCTTCACCCCCCATCTTGAAATTTCTCGAAGAGTCCAAACATTATATTTTATTACACAATTATTGTACGTATTATTCATATGTTCTACATTTAGGAAATTATGTAAAAAAATCCACAGGGCCGTAAAGTTTTGATAGCTGAACAAGTCACGGTGGTAATGAACCATTTGCATGTTTATATCTGCTTACAATCATAATGAGTTATGTATACAGACATAAACTAGTTAACACACACCCACAAACAGGGAAAAAAAAAAGTTTAAGTGGTAATGCATTATTTACAGTTGGCAAAGTCAGGGTATTTTTCCAGAATGATATACTGTACCACTGTGGATAAAATACTTTGAAATTTTTGAGTGAGTTGTCTCCGAATTCGTTAATTTTATTGCATTCCAGTACATAATGTCATAAGGTGTGACAGTTGTCCATCTGACAAAATTTACATTTCGTTTGGTCTACATCTGGTGGTGATTTAACCTCCCAAAGATAAACCATACCCCCGGCCAGGATTGAACCCGCGGTCATAGATGAACATATTTGGGATACACAGTCCTGTTGTTTGAGTAATTACCTAATACATACTGTACTGAATTTTAAATTCTTATTGCTTTCATTTGTTTATTAACTGTTTGTGAGAGTGTTTCAATGCTAACCTTTTAAACCTTTCTTTATTATGACTCACGAAATCGTAATGTCACGATTGCAAACAAACCATACCACGGGCGGAGTTGAACCCGCGGTCAAAGACTCTCTGACCGCGGGTTCAGTTCCGTCCGTGGTATGGTTTGCTTTCTTTATTAGTAATAAATAATCATTTTAGTGTTTTGTTGGGTTAATTTTATTTTGTTCTTGTTTTCAGACCTCTGCTTGGCGCAAGATGTCAGTGAAGTGGTGTGCAGTGGTTGTTCGTAGAGTGGCAGTGCCTCTCCTCCAGTCCTCGCGGGCCATCCATGCCAGAGGTAAAACTCACCTTAGAATTTTAGATGGAAGAAGATATTGGAATGTTGTATGTAAAAGACATTTTTTTCTAGAACTTGCTTCATTGGGAATAATCCACCTGACTCTTTTTTTGGGAAGGGTTAGGGGTTGTAAGTAATTTACACTATGTATGATAATTGTACTTATGTGTACCTGTGCATAAATAAACTTACTCTTGTCACTAATTTGTAGCAAGAAGGCTGTAAATGCCAAAACGTCTTGAGGAAATTCGACATGAATGCATACTTATGGCATCTTTACTGATGTAGACATATCAGTCCTGGGATCTTTAACATTTCATTTATAAATAGCCAAAATGCATTGCATAATTACTGCTGTAGTGACTTTCTTCTTAACCTACAGTTGTATCAAATTATGTCTGTATTGTACTAAGATCAATATCTAAAACACAATCATTTGGAATGTACATGTATAATTACTGTAACCTCTTGGTATGGTTCATAAAAAATAATTTTTTATATTATATAAATACTGTGCATGTATATGACAACTTCAAATGAGTGTCGTGTCTAATTGCTTCATATGGATGTGTCTGATCGCTTTAAATAGGTGTATCTGATTGCTTCAAATACAAGTGTTTTCAGTAAGGGTGTGCAAAGTAATGTACATTACCTGGAGTTTACCTGGAGAGAGTTCCGGGGGTCAACGCCCCCACGGCCCGGTCTGTGACCAGGCCTCCTGGTGGATCAGAGCCTGATCAACCAGGCTGTTGCTGCTGGCTGCACGCAAACCAACGTACGAGCCACAGCCCGGCTGGTCAGGAACCGACTTTAGGTGCTTGTCCAGTGCCAGCTTGAAGACTGCCAGGGGTCTGTTGGTAATCCCCCTTATGTATGCTGGGAGGCAGTTGAACAGTCTCGGGCCCCTGACACTTATTTTTACCTTATTCCTAGACTAAAGTGAATGTATACTTTTAAATTGGAAAATAAAGAAGTGCAAAGAGAAAAAAAATGGCAGAAAGTGAGAGCAAGTAAGCAAAAATGAAAGAATGAGAGAGAGGAAAGAGAAACAGTGAGAGAAGGAGGAAGAGAGTGCTATATAATGCATTATATGTTTGTATATTAAGCAGATGACTTGATGAAACCATGTTTACACAGGCAAATCAACTGCTGCTCCTGCAGCACTGCGGACAGATCTGACAGGTACACCACCTGTCATTACTTCTGTGTTACCTGCACAGCATCTCACCACCAAGGTTATCTTCGACACCCACACCACAGCTGACTTCAAGTACATCTGGGTATGTTAGCTAAGGAAAATGCTTGTGTATATTGCTCACCTTTCTTGGCAATACCTTTGGATTAAAGCAACAATCTTCCTCACTGACATCATTACTGCACTTGAATGATTACTCTGTATGTGGTAATGTCATAGGTTCCAGTGAATTTCATTTGGTGTAATTTGCACTTGATTTAACCCATTTCATTTAGATTAATTGCATTGGTGAAGAGTTAATTCATATATAATGTTACATGGTAGTTTCCTTTACATTAAGTAGTCAGTGGCCATTGAATTGACTTGCTTGTTTTTCCTTCAACAGCTGCGAGACAACTGTCAGTGTCCCAAATGTGTGGATCCCAGCACGAAACAGAAACTAGTGGACTCTCCAAGCCTTGACTTGAACATCAAGCCCCTCTCCCTCACCATGAATGATGCAGGCAAACTCGAGATTATTTGGTCTGAGGAGGATGAGGCCCATAAGTCAGAATATGACCCAGTATGGTAGCTATTTCTTCGGATTATTATATTACATGGATATTATTTTGTAGTTTAGGGAGTAATTTTATAATTGTTTATTTGCTAGTAATTACTAGTGACAAATTCCGTCCTGTTCCCATTACATTTCTTCATCACCTCTACAGTAATACTATATACTGTACTGGATTGTAATACTTGCCAATAAATATGGTAAAAAGCATTAAGTGCAAAGCAAACCATTTTTCATTGATTACATTTTGCTCCAGCTTCAGTTAACTTGATGAAGCTCTTTTACTTAAAGTAAAACACTACAAATAAGTTTTTTGTATGTGCAGCCAACAGCAACAGCCTGGTTGATCAGGCCCTGATCCACCATGAGGCCTGGTCACAGACTGGGCTGCTGGGGCATTGACCCCTGAAACCCTCTCCAGGTATACATGGTATCTTTGTTGTACCAACTCTACAGCACCTATAAACATTGATGTTGAGTATAAAATATATCAGCCAGAGGATAAGATAAATGCACTCTACATGATAGTTCATTTAGACGTCTTCTAGCATGCTGTCCTACAACATAAACATCATTAATGGGAATACAGAGGTTTAGATTAGACAGAAATCAACAAAATGTAATTCACTCTTCCTTTATGTCAATAACCCACAGAGTCGATCCCAACAACTTATATCAATGTTATCTGCAGATGCCACCATGCTTGTCACCTCAAACCCAGATCTGACTTCTAAATAACATTGTCAACAAGAAATTAAAAAATTACTCGCCTGAATGGCATCCAACACATTCACACACATGGCTCTTATGGGTTTAGTGCTTCTTCATGAATTTAATAATTATCACTCAACAGTATTTCCCAAATTGAAGATTTTACAAATATCATTTCCACGGATAAGCAATCCACAAATTCCCTGTGTAGATGGCTTCTTAGCTTGAAAGGCACTTATTAAATTTACACACAGTAGACCCTTGAATAATGCAAGGGTTGTTCCAAAAAAATTGTGCATTATTCAGTTTAGCATTAACTAAAGTGAAGGACATAAAAAGAAAATTTATTGCATTCCTATGGCCTGCCAAATGACCAAATATTTTTTTTTTTATGACAGTCTTTAAAAGTCACATAAAATTAAATACTTGATATGCCTTAAATTCTGGTTACTCTTACATGTTGATTCTAAAGTGTATGGAGATGGTTTCGGTGGCTCTAGTGAGCTGAGGTAGATGGCTGTGGTTCTTATGTTGATGTGGATGAAGAGTTTTCAGATGCTAATGTTCATACTACATTGTTTTTAGATATGCAAGGGTCCTTCTCGATGGAAAAAGTCTGTTTACTAGCAGTATGGAATTGTTTGTTCTGTAACTTTTCCAGTGCTGTTTCTGTGCAAGTTCCTCAGTTTCATTCTCCTCAGTTATCTACCTTCCTTATGCCTGGAAATTCAGTTCTTTCAGCAATTTTTCTGCAGAGTATGAGCAAATGGTTTCTAAAACTGATAAGTTGAAACACTTGTGCAACATTTGGGTATCTTTATTCTGAAAATGTTTTGCCAGTCAGTGGCTTCTTCAGTCTAGTGCAGTGAATGAAGGAAGATGAGGAATTTGAGGAAATCAGTCCCTCAGCCTGGTGTTGTGCTCAGTCCATCAATCTTTTATCCATTATCTTTTATCAAGATTGATGGACTGAACACATCACCTTCAGGCTGAGGGACTAATTACCTCAAATTTCTCATCTTCCAGCTTTCTCAGCATCGGACAGAAGACACCACTGACTGGCAAAGCCAGTCTCATTTATCAATTTTTTTGCAGTTGGATCATTAACATCACACTATTTCTTCCTTGCTAATGTAGATTCTCATCAGCATTAATTAATTGATTGACACTGTAACATCTCGGAAATAGCTTGTGGCAACCCATCATGGAAATTTCCTGCTGCAGCATTAACAGCCGACACAATTGACACTGTAACATCTCGGAAATAACTTGTGGCAACCCATCATGGAAATTTCCTGCTGCAGCATTAACAGCCGACACACACTCACTGCTAATCTTATACAACTGACTGCAATATTTACAGCACTCAAACTATCCTGCACTAAGTGTACACATCTGTGATAACATTCCTCTCTTCTCAGACAGTTTTGTAGTAAGATATAGTTTTCTGTCTTAATTATCTGAACACTAAGTGGGGCATCTTCCTGTGTTTTTTCTTAATCCACACATTCAGTATCTGTTTGTCTTATTTAGCTGTATTGACCTATTCATCATTATATTCAGAAGGTCTGTCTGAAATAACTGTTGCTCAAGCTCGTATTTTTTCATTATCTCTAATGGCGAGACCAAAGGAGCGAGCAATTTCCATCTCATTTGCTCTAAATCTTATTTTTTTTGTTAACACATCGGCCGTTTCCCACCAATTATCAAGGAGAAGTTTGAGATGAAGTTTTATATTGGAGTTTAATGTTCTGTATATATATAGTAGGCACAATAATATAAGTGGATAGTTTGTATATTAAGTAAGTTCCAGCTCATGAAGAGTGGTGGTGTGTGTTGCCTGGTGCAGGAGTTGGTAATCACCTGCACAGCAGCTTTTTGTTGGGTACACTTCATTATTTATGGAGACTCCACCTTGATGTAAATCATATCTTTACTATTTGACAAACCTTAACAATATTTAATTTAGTAGAATGCATTTGAAATTACCATAACTTTTACTCTATATTTTCATCCTCTGTGAATCTCAGAATTATCAATAGTAAAACACATTCTTTACCGCAGGCTGTATAAGTATGGGCAGTCGTTCATGCACAATAACTTTGCTAGTGACAGTTTAGACATGGAACTTTTGACTCAGAGACCAGAATTTGAGTTATGGGATCGAACAACTATCTGGTCCAGCTTTCCTGAGATGTCTTATAATGAGATAATGGAGAGTGATAATGGTCTTGCACAGTGGTTGGAAATGTTCTATAAGGTATGTATGATTATCTATTTCTAGCAAATACAGTAATTATATATATTTTTAACTGCTGGAATTCATATAAAATAGGTGTTGATTTAAAAAATATAGTTCTCACATTATTGTATAACACTTTGGGTAAGTTATATATTTTTTCATAATTTCTGGAGTGTAACCTTTTATACATTTCTCAGTATGGTGTTGCTGTTCTCCGTGGAGTGCCACCTAAGGTGAACAAAATTGTAGATGTTGTGAAACGATTTGCCTATGTGAAGGAGACCCAGTATGGTCACACTTTTGATGTAATCAACAAGCCAGTGAAGGGTTCCCATCTGGCATATACTGGAGTTGCCCTGGCACATCACACTGACATGAACTACAGGGAGAAGAGTCCTGGCATGCAGCTGCTCCACTGTCTCAAGGTACAGTAATCTCACATACACTACTGTAATGTGAATTAATGGGCGACATGCATATTGCATGATTAGTCAGGTTCATTTTGGACAGTGACTGGTTGGGTGACTATTTCATACTACTTTATGAAACATTATTTTTAGGATGTATTCCTTAATTAGTTATGTATATAATTAGAAGGATTATGGGGAGAATTAAAATTATTCTTACAAGTAGCTTGATTGAATAGTGTTTATTACTAGCTATAATATTTTTTCCAATAGGCCAACGACCCCAAGCTTTCTGGCTCTGACCCAGGGGGACGCTCATTCTTTTCTGATGGCTATCGCATTGCTAGATGGTTGGAAGAAAATGAACCTGCAGCATTCCATGTCCTTACTTCCACACCTGTCAGGTATAGTTCCTCAAATTATTATTGTTATTGGGGAAGTGTTGAACCTGTAGGGATCATACAGCAACTGGGAAGTGAGAGGTAATCAGGTTTGATCAAATGAAGGGGAGAGTAGCTATAGTTCCTCAGATTTAGACCCCTTCACTAGCATTAAGGCATCTAGAAGAGAAAGTTAAAGGAAAGGAAATGACTTACAGTAAGTCAGCTAACAGGTATCCCTCAAATCCCTTCATAAATGTTATCTTGCTCCACTCAATCTGAGTAACCATGTTCACTAGCCTGCTGGATATTCAAACCCCTAGAACCCATAAGCTCCCTCTACCCTTTCCCTCCAACGCTTTTTGGACGAGCCTTATCCCTACTTCCTTCCATCCCAGATTTATACACCCTTTTGATCATCCTATTTTGCTCCATCTTATCTAAGTGCCTAAACCACCTTAACAATACCTCCTCAGCTCTATGAATTAGCTGTATACCTTTGGTAATCCCTATGCTATCTTCTGATTTCTACTCTCGAAATTCTCTGCATGATATTCACACCATGTATTGCTCTCAAACACCTCCATTGCCTTTAGTCACCTTTTTTCTGCAGTGTTTAAAGCCCTTTTGTTTCCATAGATAAAGTTCTTTTCACACATGCCTGAACACAATTATTTTGTTATTAACACATTGGCCGTTTCCCACCAAGGCAGGGTGGCCCGAAAAAGAAAAACTTCCATCATCATTCACTCTATCAGTCTTGCCAGGGAAAGGAAGCAAGGAATTAGATTCCCATTCAGGATAAATGGAAGGGGCAAGAGACTAGTCATGAGGCCAAGGAGCAAAGATGTCATCTACATAGCAGAGCCAGTGAAGGGCACACATCAATAGTAGGAAGAACAGTTTCAAAGTATACCATGTAAAGATTAGCAAGAACAGGAGAGACTAGTCTCTTTCAACCATTTCTTTATGCCCTTAATAATCTTTCTCCTTCCATAAGTTTAATGCTGAATTAGATTAGATTAGATTTTTAATTTTGACAAATTAAATGGCTGTACAGAGGAATATAATAGTTGGGTTTACATTGCAAAAGCCCCTCTGTATGCTGAGCATTTCGGGCAAACTTAGGGATTAACTTAAGAATAGTAAGGCAATAATACATAGTTCATATGATCATTAGTGAGTACAGGAGAATTTAATATCAGGTGATGCTACATGGTTTTGATAAGTCTAGTATAGACTTTTTACACTATTGAATTAGTTAATAAAGATTACAGTATTACAATGTAACAATTTGAAGCAATTTACAGTGTGATGTATTTTAATTTAGTGCTATTTACAACAACGAAATTTGGTATTACAATGGAACAATTTACATTATGATGTACTGTATTACAATCTACTGTTATTTAAAACAGTGAAAAGAACAGACATCCTAATTTCAAAGTAGTAAGTGGATGAGCATTCATCAGCACAATATGAGTAGCTTTTGAGAAACTGGTAGTGGTTAGGTATGGTTGTCTGGTTAATTTTGGGTGATAAGGTGATTTCTTTGGGCCTTAAACTGATTTACAGACAGGGGTCCTTTAGTTTGTTCTGGCAATGAATTCCAGATCTTCAGGCCTTTTACATGCATAGCATTTTGCATAGGGAGAGATGAACATGGGGAATATCGAAGAGTGATCTGTGTCTCGTATTATGGGTGTGTGTTCTGTTATAGTTATCAAGGAGGAGTTTGAGAGGAGGGTTTACATTAGAGTATAGTGTTCTGTTATGTAGTAGACACAGTAATAAGTGTAGATGTTTTGTATATTTAGTAGGTTAAGACTCTTGAAAAGTGGTGGAGTGTGTTGTCTAATGCAGGAGTTAGTAATCAATCGCAGTTAGTAATCAATCGCACTGCAGCTTTTTGCTGAGTTATTAAAGGCTTAAGGTGATTTACTGTGGTTGAGCCTTATGCACAAATACCATAGGTGAGGTAAGGGTAAATGAGAGAGTGGTACATAGCTAGAAGAGCTGATTGGGGTACATAGTACCATATCTTTGAAAGGATGCCTACTGTTTTGGGGACTTTCTTGGAAATTTGCTGTATGTGTGTCTGAAATTTGAGACTACAGTCAAGGTGGAGACCTAGAAATTTGCCCTCTGCCTGTCTCGAGATAGGTGAACCATTTATCAATATGTTTAGCTGTACATTTGAAGCTCTTTCCAAACAGCTTGAAGTAGGTTTTGTCAATATTGAGAGTAAGTTTGTTGGTAGTCATCTAAGTAGATATTTTTAGCAGTTCAGCATTTACTGTGTCTGTTAGTATGGTTGGTTTTGGGTGAGAAAAGACATAAGCTGTGTCATCTACAAATAAAATGGGTTTAAGGAGATTAGATGCATTTAGAAGGTCATTGATGTAAATGAGAAAGATAAGTGGGCCAAAAATGCTCCCCCTGTGGGACTCCAACAAAAACAGGTTGTGTAGTGGAACAGGCTCCAATTGTGTATACATACTGGGTTCCATTGTTAAGATTTTAGGTGATTGAGAGAGTGTCCTCTGACCCCGTAATGGTGCAAAAGGTCATGGTCAACTGTATCAAAAGCTTTTTGTAAGTCTATGAACAGTCCCAGGGGAAATTCATTTTTCTCGAGTGCAGAGTATATTAGTTCAAGCATATGTATTATAGCATCATTAGTACTTTTTTTTTGATCTGAACCCAAACTGACAAGGGTTGAGCATGTTGTGGGATACGAAGTAGGCGTAGACTTGTTTGTGTATTAATTTTTTGAAGATTTTAGATAGTAGGGGCAGGTTTGATATAGGCCTATAATTGTTAATTCAGTTGGATCACCTTTGAGGATCAGGGTGACTCTTGCCATCTTGAGTATGGATGGGATGGTGGAAGATTCAATGGATTTGTTAAAAAGAGTTGCAATAATTGGTTACAACACATAAGAAGCTTTTTTATACATGAGTGGTGGTAAGTTATTTAGGTCCCCTGTCTTGTTCTTTAGTGTTTTGATAAGTGAGATTTCAGTTGGGTTTGTTGGGGCTAAAAATAGAGTAGTAGGGTAGTTGCAAGTGAGGTAGTCTTTTGGTTGAATGTTTGAGCTTGGGATTTTACTTGCTAGTTTTGTTCCTATGGTAAAGAAAAAGACATTTAGTTTGTTGGCAGTATCAGTTGGCTGTAGAAGTTCATCTGGTTTAGTTAAGATAATCAATCTGTTTTGTGACAGCTTTTTCGTTCCTAGAATTTCAGATAAGGTTTTACAGGTCTTTTTTCGTATCGCCTTTTGTCATGAAATCTGTTTTCATAATACAATTTTTTTTGACCTCCTTATTAGATTGGTTAGTATTGATGAGTAACAGTTTGAGAGATCCTTTTTTTATCAATAGATTTGAGGATGCTGTTTGTAAGCCAGGGGCTGTTTAGTCTCTTTGCTGTGATCTGCTTAGTTTTTATTGGGCAATGCATGTTATAGAGGTTTTGGGTTTTTTGTAAAAAATATTAACACATTCATCAATATCTAAGTTGTCTGCTAGCTCGTTTTGCCAGTCAACGTCACCAAATGTTGAAAGTTATTAACAGATGACTTGTCGTATAGTCGGAATGTGATCTTAGTTGTGTCCTGGGGCACTTTACACAAGTTGGTTATGAGAAAGATGGGATAGTGGTCAGTGGTGTTATCTGTGATTATGCTTGCTTTTAAAGGGGATATAGTGTTTGTCCAGATATGGTCTAGTAACTAGGCATTTGTGTCAGTGATTCTTGTAGGTTTTGTTATTGTTGGTAGAAGCAAGCAGCTGTTCATAGTGTTTATGAATTCAGTCACTTGTGGGTCATGGTCATGGATGAGATTTATGTTGATGCCCCCTGTAAGTATTAGGTGGTGTTTGTTCATTTCAGCACTAGTTATTATGCTAGTTTTTCACTAAGAGTAAATATTGGAGTGAGGAACTCTATATATTGCTCCGACTATTAGAGGTTTTGTAAGGTCTTTGGATTTAAATTTTGCAAAGGTATATTCACCATGTTCATTCCTTGTGCAAATAGAATTTATACACTTCAGTTCATCATAGTAGTATATAGCTGTTACACCTCCTAATTGTTCTGGCCTACAGTTGTGTATGGCTGTGTAGCCAGGTATGGAATAGATGTTTGTAACATCATGTTTTAGCCATGGAATCTAATTCCTTGCTTCCTTTCCTTGATGTTCATGTCCACCGCTCAGATGCAGGTTTTGCCTTTTCCGTGTACCGCTAGCCTATGCACAGTGGCATGTGCATTCACTACTTTTCTTATCATGCTTCCTCTGTCAAGAAAAGTGTTATCTCCCTCTTTCTCCATGCTCTCTGCATTTATGATCCTCAGTTCCTTGAATCAGAAACTTCCACTCTTCATAATTCATTTTCCCATCTTGGTTACCCTTCTCATTTAATAGACTCTGCCTTCTCATGTGCTAAATGGACTTTCTTCTCTCTCAAACTGTACTCCTGGGAACTCTCCTGTACTCTTCCTTCCCTACATTTCCAGTCTTTCTAATCTCAACAACTCAGTTCCTTAGACATCAAACTTACTTTTCCCCAGACTGACACTTTGCACTAATCTAGTTCATACCTCTCCTCCCTCTATTGATGCTCCTGGTGTCTACTCTATTTCTTGTTCCTCTTGTCCTCTTCAGTACTTTGGAGAAACTGGCCATTCTCTTTCTGACAGACTCAGAGAGCACAAAAGTAGTGTTCAGCTTGCCACCACCAGCAATGCTCTTTTCTGTCATGTCAGAGATCACAGTCATCCTATTGACTGGTCTTCTGCTAAAATTGTCTACCCTACCTCTAACTTTAACAGTCGTTGTCTGGTTGAATCCTCCCTTATACACAACTCCCCTTGTATAAATCTTAGTCCTGGCTTTGTCTCTGTAGATGCCTTGCTTTACCATTACAATGTAAAATGCTCCAAACTTCAGAACACCTATGACTTAACCTGATTCTTTTTTCTCTTTCTCCCTTTTCCCCTTTGCTCTTTCTCCTCTGGGT